TTTTCCTTTGAAGAACATTAAGATAGTATTTTGAGCTAATGTTTCCTTGCAGTGGTATCAAAATTACTTTATGAGGCTCAATTTCTTTACCTTTGAGTATGACAACAGTGGGAATTAAGTAAAAAATATAACTTTTGTTCACCTCTCTAGCTGCCCCTGAAAGCCACCTCTATGATTTACGGATTTATTAATCAGTTTTCCAGGTACCTAATGTGAATGTGACTTCTCCAGTAACAGCAATCCCCTTACAAATCAGATAAAAATAAAAAAGCAATAACTTGATTGAGTCAAAAATCTTAGTGTCCTGAAATTCTTTCAAAATACATTTTATTTATTATTTTTTTATTTTATGTGCAGGAGTGTATTGCCTGCATGTATGTGAGGGCACCTATGTCATGCAATGCCTCGGAGATCAGATGAGGGCCTCGGATTCCCCTAGAATGGGAGTTAAGGATGGTTCGTAGCCACCATATGGGTGTTGGGAATCGAACCTGGGTCTTCTGCAAGAGCAGTCAGTGCTCTTTAACCACTGAGCCATCTCTCCAGCCCCTGGTTCTTTTTTAAAGCTCTTTCTATTGACATTTTCTGTTTCTTCATACATTATTTTTCTAACTTTTGGTGAATTACACTCATACAGGGGAACACCTCAACAAGTAAGCAGCTCAGCCACATTCAGGGAGTTCCCCAGTACCTTTGGGGGAAATGTCACTTCTCAGTTTACGCTTATAATTTCCGAACGAGGTTTGCCATCTTTTTCGGCATCCATAATCTCTTAGCTGTGTGCCTCTTTAGGCCTGCAGGTTCTCTGGTACTGGAGCAGCAAGCCTCCCTGTTCTTGTTCTCTGTGGCCAGTAGGAATTCAAATTATGCTGACTCTCCATCAGCATCCCCCAAGGAAAAAAAAATGCTAGACACTTGGGCAACTACAAAAAAGGTCTAAAGTATTTTATTACACAGGTACCCTACTCTCCTCCCTCTTAAGAGAAGAGCTAGTTGGGAGCCTCAGAACCACACTGAGCACACTTCCCTGTCCACCAGGCCATCTCATGCAGCAGCACCCAACCCTTACTCTCAGTGGCCCCCAGTCATGGAATCAGAGTGAAGAAACCAGCGACGTACTGATGTGACCCCTGCCCCCAAGACCCCCGATCTGGACAAGGAATCTAAATTTACAAAATGCTTGATCCCAAGGACTTTTTTGGGGAATCTGACTAAAGTCCTGAGTCCTGTGACAGGGGAAATGGGGATAGAGGACCTGCACAGAAGGCAGGTAAGGGGCGACCACAAGGTCCTAAATCTCAGTAATCTGCAGGAGTTATATGGTGGGTGTGGCAAGGCTCCGAGGTGACCATACAGAATCCTCTGTGGGCCTAGAGAGTCCCAGTTGGCAATAACATTTCCCAAAGTGCCTGACCCCTGTGTTTCATCCTCCACATTAGACTGTGTCCATCCTAAAAAGTGAATATGATTCTCCTACTTTTTTTTTTTTTTTTTTTTTTGGTCGTTTTGAGAAAGGGGCCCCCTATAGCCCCAGCTGTCCTGGAACTCACTATGTAGACCAGGCTGGCCTTGAACTCACAGAAATCTGTACCTCTGCCTCCCAAGTGCTGGGACCACAGGCGTGGGCCACCATGCCCAGCTACTAATTTTTCAAAACCAATTCCAATCATCCTCTCAGCCCCCCCCCGCTCCCCTCCCCTCTAGAGTTAGTGCTATTTCCTTTAGCACTTTGTCAGAGGAGCTCCTCTTCCTCTGACTTAGTTGCAGGAAGGAGTGTCTAGTCCTTACTGGGCTGCTACAGGTCAGATCCAGGTCCCCCACCCCCACCCCCAGCCTCCCTGTGCACAACTGTAACCAGCTACAGGTCAGTCCAGTCCCACCCTCCCACCCCCATCCTCCCTGTGTATAACTCGTCCCTGTGAGGACACTGTCACCCTCACTGCAATCCTAGGTTTGTCAACATCCTATGCTGAAGAACACAGGGGCTACAAGGTCTTCATTGTCAGTAGCCCTAGTTACTACAAAGGAATGAGGAGGAAGACAGGAAGGGGGGAAGAAACGGGGAGAGGAAGAGGACAAGAAAGGATGCAAGAGAAAATAAAGTTAACAAAAAAGACAGAAAGCATTGACCAATATAGAAAGTCTAACCTGTGAAGGAAATCAAAAGGACAGTTGAGATTGGCCAGAGCCCTGTCCCAAGATCAATGTGGGTGCCTGGTACGGTGGCACTGGGCCTGACTGGTAGGAAAGACTTCCATAAAGTCACAGCAGGCTCGAAGGCTCCAGGTCTAAAAGGATAACCATACGAAGCTTCCTAAACTGGAAGGAGTCAGTGAACTTAGCTTGGTAGAAGATATGATGGAAACAGACGTACCTGTTTAAACCCAAGCTCTGCCAGTAGGTTAGATCATTTAACCTCACAGATCTTTCTTATCTTGAAAATAGAGACACTACTATTTTAGAGAACAGTATGGAGATGGGAAATCATACATGTACAGTTGACTTCAATTTGTGCCGATTTTTACATGCATGTCTAAGTTTAAGGTAAGCCTGGGTTACACAGTGAGTTCAAGAGAAGAGAGAGAGAGAGGTAGTGGGAGGGGAAAGAGGGAGAAGACAGGGAGAGGGAGGGAGGAAGGAAGGGAAGGAAGGAAGGTACATGAAATAGAAGGGCTTTGCAAACTGTAAAGTGTTCTACAAATGCTAGGGAATAGTTTAAATTTATTAAATTACATTGTGTGTGTGTGTGTGTTAGGGTACGTGTGTGGAGGCCATAGGACAACATGCAGAACTCTAGCTCTGTTCTCTCCTACTATGTGAGTTCTGGGGATCAAACTCAGGTCATCAGGCTTGGCAGCAAGCACCCTAACCCTTCCTGGCTCTGGCATCTGCATCCTCCATTATCTTGAGCAAGTTTCGTTCTCTGTTGATCTGTATCTATGTATCCTATGTCAAATGTGGGTAAATTTTTACCTTCAAGGTGCCTTTGAAAATTAATATGAGTATAAAGTTCTTGCTATATCCTATCTAGGGTGATTAACAGGGTCCTCCATCTGCTAGGTCAAGCGTGGGGTGCATCAATTCCAAGCCTAGTACCAGAATCACATTCTGGAAATTGGGTCCAGATGAAAAGGACTCCTTATCCTGGTAGGCAGGATGCCAGCCTAAAAAGAGATAGAAAGGGCTGTCTTGTATTTGTTAAAGAAAAGCTGGATGAACACTAACGTCCCATGTAGAAAACACTGAAATCGAATGGCTTAAACCAGACATGATTCCTGCTGCTGCTTTTTTTTTTTTAAAGACAGGGTAGTCCTATAGCCCCAGCTGGCCTGGAACTCACTACGGAGACCAGGCTGGCCTAATCTCAAGAGATCTGCCTGCCCCTGCCTTGCAACTGCTGGGATTAAAGGCATGTACCACCAGGCCCAGATCTTAATCTATTGCCACTAAAGGCACATTGGGATCAGGGACCTCTCATACTGCCCCATTCTTTATCCCTACTCCCTGCCACTGTCGTGTTTCTTAGCCATATAAGCACTCAATAGTCTAAAGTTAAAAAGGTCCTCACAAAGCTGGGCATGGCGGCACATGCCTTTAATCCCAGCACTCGGGAGGCAGAGGCAGGTGGATCTCTGTGAGTTCAAGGCCAGCCTGGTCTATCTACATAGTGAGTTCCAGGTCAGCTGGGGCTACAGGGAGACCCTGTCTCAAAAAGACCAAAAAAAAAAAAAAAAAGAAAAAAAGAAAAGAAATGGTTCTCACACTGGTACTGACTTCCTAGATGAATGGTCCAAGGTCATATTAAGAGACCACACTAACTCCCACCTTTAGGCCAGCCTCCTAAGCACCTCCTCCTTCAGAGGGCAGCTAAGACCACTGGATACCCAGGTTGAAAGTGACTCTACTACATGCCTACTATGTGACTTCACCTTTCCTCACTTGTTTCCTCATCTTATACCTTTGGGGTTGCTGTGGCAACCAAATGAGACAAAGAATGAAATATAAAGCCAACAGCCTACAATGGATGCTCAATTCATGTCGGTCCCTTTCCCTTCTCTCCAAAGGACCCAGAGACTCAGCCTGCTTCCCCTTGCTTTTCAGAGCAGCAAAGCATCTGACTTAGAATTCAACTCCTCTGCAGAATGGCTGCATTGGAACAATCTCCCCACTTCCCCAAATAAGTACACAGATCCTTTTCATCAAAGTGTTTTACTGAATCACTGGGGAAACAGATGCAAGTTGGGGTGAAGACAGCAGGTAATAAACATGGACTGTGGATCCCTGAGGGCTTCCTTTTTATTCCTACTGCACAAGCCTCATCTCAGACCAAAGAGGCCCTTCATTGGGAGGCCCTTAGGGCTCTGGAAACTGGCATGGGACTAGGCACAACAGGTGGGAGCTCAAAGGCCACCACAGCGTGCCTGAAGCTAGATAATTTGGAGGCCCCGCATACACTGACACCATCTCACAGGCACTTCCCCCAAATCCAGGGGACCACTGCCCAGTGGCATGAGTATGTTCTGAGCCTATCCTACTTCACTCTGTGAGGACTGGGCCCTGTGACTTTCCAAGGCAAGAAACCACCTGGAAAGAGGCAGGATTTTTATTCAGTTCCTTCTCAGGATTTCCTGGAGATCCTGGTTTCAAAGGCAATAGGGAACATTCTACAAAGTGGATGCTTTGCAATCAAGGTGGCCACAACAGATCCTAAAGGCCTTCCATCATGGTGGGTCATACATTCTCTCTCCCTCACTCTCTAAGCAGGGCTCCCCTTCAGCTAGAATCCTTCCCAGCCTGCTCAGCCAAGTGCGTTTTCTGGTGGCGGATGAGGTTTGAGCTTCGGGAGAAGTGTTTCCCACACACAGTGCAGCGATAGGGCTTCTCCCCTCGGTGTGTTCTCTGGTGTGCCCCAAAGTTAGAGATATCACTGAAGGTCCGCCCACACTCGGCGCACTCATAAGGCCTCTCCCCAGTGTGGGTGCGATGGTGCACGCCAAAGCTGGAGCTGTTGCTGAAGCTCTTCCCACACTCACAGCAGATGTAAGGTGCCGGTTCGAGGTGGGTCCGGTGATGCACGGCCAGCGCGGCACTCTGGCTGAAGCTCTTGCCACAAACGTCACAGCGGTACGGCCGCTTGCCCAGGTGATCTTGCTGGTGTGTGGTGAGGTCCGAGCGCCGCCGGAAGCTCTCTTGACACTTGGGACATTTGTAGTGTTTCTCTTCCAGGTGGATCCGCTCGTGTCGGATGCGGTTGGAGCTTCGGGAGAAGCTCTTGCCACATTCTGAACATCTGTATGGCTTTTCACCAGTATGGATCCGCAGGTGTGTCCTCAGGTTGGAGGTATTATTGAAGGCTTTGCCACACTGTGCACATGTAAAAGGCTTTTCATCTGCCTCGGGCCTTGAATGAGCAACGGGGTCCCCTGGCCCTCCAGGTTGGGCAGTGACTTTCGGCCATGGCTTTTCTGGATGTGCTCCTTGGGACCCCTTCGACAGGCTCTCTTGCCCATGTTCCTCCCCAGGTGGGATCCGGGAACCCTCTGAACAATCCACTCTCCAAGGTTTCCCTGCTTCCCCTTCCTCAGGCAGGTGTGGCTCTGGACTCTGCTCCTTCTCACTGCCCATCTCTGAACCCTGAGAATGAACACAAATGTTCAACACCTTTATTCCTTGTGTCAAGTCATTAGATCACAGGGAGTCTTGCATTCTGGTTTAAGTGGTGTACCCCCTCCCATACAACCATCCACCAGGAATAGCCTCAAATAAACTGGAATACTTGTAGAAAGTCTTTATTTCCTTCCTAACTTTTTAAAAAATGTAATGTGTATGCGTGTATTGCCTGCATGTAGGTCAGTGCACTCGCGTTGTGCAATGCCCGTAGTGGTCAGAAGAGGCTGTTGGATCCCCTGGGACTGGAGTTACAGACAGTTGTTAGCTGCCATGTGGGTGCTGGGATTTGAACCCAGGTCTTCTGCAAGAACAACCAGTGCTCTTAACCGCTGAGCCATCTCTCCAGCCCCTACTTCCTAACTTTTAAAAAAAATATTTTATTACTTTTATTTTATGTGTATGAGTGTACTGCCTGCATGTATGCACAACCCATGTTGTGCAATGCCCACAGAAGTCAGAAGAGGGCATCAGGTCTCCTGGAACTGGAGTTACAGATGGTTGTTAGCCACCATGTAGATGTGGGAATCAAACCCGGGTCTTCTGCAAGAGCAGCCAGTGCTCTTAACCACTGTGCCATCTTTCCAGCCTCTACTTCTTAATTTTCAAGTGACAAACCTTCACAGATATTTAAGGCTATCCACCACTAATGGGTGTAACCTGTGCAATTTGAATAATGTAACTCTTCTCAATATAATGATATACTCTAGACCTACACTTGTGTGTAAATAAAGCTGCTTTCCTTGAGGGATGAATTCAATTTTTCTTCTTGCTAAGAAACCATCTATTTGCTAATTTTAAAATGAACATAAGACTTTCATTCTTGGGGTTGTAGTCTACAAGTTACTTACAAGGCCCAACTCTGAATATTCTCAACTGTTCTGCCATTCCATTCCTCTCTAGACCTCACCATAATCTACTAACTGGTTAAAGACCTACTGCAGGGCTATCTGTTCTGGTTAGTTAGTGCCTACTTCTACCTCATAAACAACATTCTTACATGGCACACAGCTGTTCACATGCCCAACAGACTCAGCCACATTCTATCACACAATCAAACATGCTGACACCAGTCACTCACACCACATACATATTCATATCGCATATAGTCCTCATATACCCAGACACACAGGACACACCTATCTACATATTCAACACACCAAACATGTAAAGTCATACATACTCTCACCATATCCACACAAAAATGCATACAAACATGCAAACCATGTTCTTCTTCCTCCCCTTACCTCACACAGTTAAATACATCAGGTGCCCAGCATAGGGCCTGTTTATCAAACATCAGTAAAAGCTTGCACAGAGGCATAGATTCCTTTGGGTTCCTACACCCAAGAGCAGGAAAAGAGCGGGAAGAAAAAATGTACTTCTGATAAGATGGAAGTGGTAATATTTCTCCTGGTTTTTCAAGAAATGACATTTCAAAAGGCAGGGTAAACTGGTGAGGATGCTATCCAGGATGAACAGGAACTAGGGGGTTAGGGAGGGAAGTACAGACTACGATAAACAATGAAAGAGTGCTGATTATATCTAGTCATGCTTTTAGAAGAAAAATAAAAAGCCAGAGTAAAAAAGGCCCTGACTACATCTAGGATTAAGTGGTGACAAAGATATCTTTACAACTCTCTGCAAATTATTCAACCACTCTGAGCCTCAGTTCCCTCATCTCTAAAGTTGTGACACCTATCTACACTGTAGGTAGGGCTTCATGTTAGAGAAAATGCCCATAATACACTCGAACGTACATTAACCCAGCAAATGTCTGCCGTCACAATTGTTGACAGTACTGTATCCTATCCCTGTGAAGCACACAGGAATCAAAAAGCTCCTTTAGCCAGGCGTGGTGGAGCACGCCTTTAATCCCAGCACTCGGGAGGCAGAGGCAGACAGATCTCTGTGAGTTCAAGTCCAGCCTGGTCTACATAGTGAGTTCCAGGACAGCTGGGGCTACAGGGAGACCCTGTCTCAAAAAGACCAAAAAAAAAAAAAAGCTCCTTTAAATGATCTTTCCAGGAAGGAAAAATTTAAAAAAGGGTACATGGGGTGGCTGGAGAGATGGCTTGGCAGTTAAAAGCACTGGCTGCTCTTGTAGAGGACCTAGGTTTGGTTCCTGGCAGCCACATGGTGGCTAACAATCCTCTATGGCTCCAGTTCAGGGGTCAGATGCCCTCTTCTGACTTCCAAGAGCATTGCACGACATGGGTGAACTTGCATGCATGTAGGCAATACACTAATACACAATTTTTTTTTTTAATTTTTAAGAGTACATGACTGTATAGACTCTTCTAAAATGTGAAATGCAGAGAGAATCTCAACTCTTTAAGGAGTAGACGTTAGCAAACTTTTCCAGTAAACAGATAAAAAGCAGTAAACAAAGTGTGATGGTGCCTTTAATCCCAGCACTCAGAAGGCAGAGGCATGCAGATCTCTGTGAGATCTGGTCTACAAAGTGAGTTCCAGGCCAGCTGAGGCTACAGGGAGACCCTGTCTGAAAAAAAAAAAAAAACCCCCCCAAAAAAAAAAAAAAAAAAAATCACAAGGTCAACGTTGAAATCACTGAACTCTGCCACTGTATCATGAAGGCAGCATAGGCAAGATTTAAAGGAATGGCTATTCCGTGTTTCACTAAAACTTTATTTATAATGGGAGTCAAACTGTCACTTACCAACTCCTGTTTTGGCATTTCTTAAAAAAACAAACAGCTGGGTGTGGTGGCGCATGCCTTTAATCCCAGCTCTTGGGAAGCAGAGGCAGGCAGATCCTCTGTGAGTTCCAGGCCAGCCTGGTCTACAGAGTGAGTTCCAGGCAGCTAGAGCTACAGGGAGACCCTGTCTCAAAAAGACCATAACCCCCCCACCCCCATAGCTGGGAGTTAATAGGCAGTTGTGAGCCACCAGACATGTATGCTGAAAATCAAACTTGGGTCCTCTGTAAGACACTACCTGCTCTTAACAGATGAGTCATCTCTGCAGTCCTGTTTTGGTGTTTCTTATAGAATTTACATGTAGAAAAGGCTTGCTTCAGTTTCAAAACTGCTAGCAAATATCAGGACATATTTGATACTTAGAGTCACTCTTCTTCGAAAAATTACAAGCCCTTCACAAATTCCTAGTTCCCCTGCCCCAAAGCACATTCCACTGTCTATTCATGTTTATTACTCACTGTCTGCCCACATCTCCAGTAAACCTAAGTCCCATTGAGGACTAGAATCTTTGTTTTCTTCACTAATGTAACCCATTCCTAAAATACTGGCGGTCACAGATAGTAGATCCTTAACTATTTGTTGAGTGAACTGATAAAGGGCCAGATGTGTCTCTGGGACGTCACACCTTCTTGCGTCTCTTCTCCCCCACTACTCCTTAGCAGTCTCTTGCTTTGTGCCCACTTTATACATCCACAGATGTTGTTTGCTTTTATTATTTTCTTTTCAGGTTTGTCCCCCCAAACTGTTTATAACTACAAAGCTGGGTGCTCATAAAAGTTTTTTGAATGAATGAACACGTGGATGGGAACTTAATTCAATGTCTCCCTACCCACTCAACCTAGGGCTCCAGGATCTACATGCACGGAGCAACGCGCCTCCACTCCACTCACCTGTTTTGCACTTGTTTTCTCCACTCACTGTTATTCTGAAAATATATACTTTACCCAAGTTGAGCTTAGGACTATCAAAATCCATACCCTTCACATCTTCCTGCTTCCAGGGCTAAATGCAGAGTTCATAATGTAAGAGTAAAAAGACTGGGCCAGCAAGGTAAAGGCACTTACTGCCAAGCCAGTTGACCTCAGTTCAACCTCTGGAATCCAAGAAGAACTGACTACTCCCTGAAAGTTGTCCTCTGACCTCCACACTCAAGCTGCAGTATGCATTGCCCCCCCCCAATAAAATTAAGGATCTAGGATTATGATTATTACCCTCATACAGTTTACGACACAATGCAGTGGAATAGATGATGACTACAATGTAGAAGGCTAAATTTCAGGGGTGCCCTAGTCGCTCCCGTTCCTACTCTTCCAGTGGCACATTACACAGGAGTCAATAATCATCTTTTTTAAAGGCCCTGGGCTGAGCACTCCACATGCATCAGCTCATTTTACAACTATTCATTTTGAGGAAACTGAAACTAGAGAAATTAAGTAACTTGCCGAAGAGCACACAGTAAGTGGCAGAACTGAGGCCCCTGCTCAGCATTCCAAAGCTAAGGCTTTTAACCATTACACTAATACTGGAGGGAGAAAAGGAAGTCAGGAAAGAAGGGAAAAAGTACTGCAACAGTTCAGATGACACAAGGATATTCCTCTGAAGAGGGCTGGAAAGCAGCTTCGAGGAGGAGGCGTTATTTGAGCTACGATTTGCAGGTTAAGATGGGTGAGAAGGTAGTGGCAGAGAAAGGGAGCCCATTACGGACTGAAAAGATAATACAGCTAAAATACAAAGTTATATTGATATTACACTTCAGAGATCTGGGAGAGAAAAAGGCCTATTGGGCTTTCTTCCTATGGGCTTGGCAAGAGAGGAAGGGATTCAGGCAGCGGAGCAGGGACCGGGTCTAAGAAGAGCAAGCCAAGGGGATGAGGTAAGAGATCACAGACGACGACGACGGCGAAGAGCCTGGGGTAGGAAGAAGAGGCCAAGTTGTTGTCTAAAAGGTGTTAAAGTTCCAGAACTGGATATAAGTCAAGGACTGAAAGGGCAGGGACAAGGTGTGAACACAGGAGAGCCAGGAGAGTCAGAGAGAGATGGAGCACCAAAGGAGTCTGGGACGGAGGAGGGGCAAAGGCTGCAGAGGTGTCCAAAGAGGCTGAGTCGGGGTGCCCAGGGGAGGGAGATGCTGGAGGGGGAGTTCAAGAGTACCGCGTCCCGGAAGGCAGGAGCCGACTTCACAGATGCCCGTGGGCTTAGGGCTGGAAGAGGAGGAGGAGTGACCCCCAAGTATGGTGGGTAGGAGGGGCCTAGAGTAGTCCAAGGCCAAAAGGAAGGGCGGGAGGAGAGTAAGGCTGGGGCCAGCAGCTTGGCCGCGCCGGCCCGGGACAGGGGTCGGGGCGGAGGGACACACGGTCCCCCTTGCAGCCCGCAGAGCAAAGCAGCAGCTTCCAACACCTCGACGCGAGGGAAGGGGCCGCGCTCAGAGCGCCTGCAAGTCCTGTCCGCCTCCCCCCTCGTCACCTCAGCCCAGCCGCAACCCACCTGGCTCCCAACGCTCCGCCAGGGACAGCACCGCCTCGGTGGGCGGAGGAGGGAGCCGGAGCCGGAACCCGGAGGGGACCCGCCTTCCAGCTCCGCTATTGGCTGCTGGGGATATCCTTTCTTTTCATTGGCTACGACAGCTGCCACACTGCCAAAGGCCCAAGCGGAAGCTCCAATAAGCTTCGGCTTCTGGCGTGGCATGCTGGGAGTTGTAGTCCTGAGCCGGCTCACTTCTGCGACCGCATGTGCCCACTGTAGAAACCAAGCTTTGGAGATGACTTCCCTTCTAAGGTCATCAGGTTTCCTTCCTGCTTTACTTTTGAGTTGGTGGCCCTTGACAGAAGACTAGAGTCTGGAACTTCATTTAAGGCTCATAGATCATGAGGGAGTTTAAAGATAAAGGAACCCAATCCGTCTGTCAGAGCGCACACACGCTCTCACCTACAAGTAGTAAATAAAAAATAATAAAGATTAATTAGGCTTCTCATATTTGCATGGTGCTTCAATACATAGAACAGAGACCTGCCTTCAGAACTAGAAAAACAAGGTGTAGAATCCCAGTTCCTTCTGCGTTAAATGAGTGGACGAGTAGACAAACAGATAAATGTTTCTGCCTCCACAAATATTAGCCCTCTTTTCTGTTGGTAAATTCTGTCAACGGGTAGTGTCCTAGTTTGTCTCTCCATTGCTGTAACAAAACACTCTGACCACTACCAACTTGAAAAGGAAAGGGTTAATTCAGCTTACATCGCCCAGGTCACAGTTCATTAGGGAGCCCAAGGTAGGAACTCAGGGCAGGAACCTGGAAGCAGGAGCTGGAGCACAGGCTGTGGAGGAACACTGCTTACTGGCTTGCTCCCCAGGCCCCTGCTCAGCCTGCTTTCTTATGCAACACAGGCTCACCTGCCCAAGGGGTGGCGCCATCCACCGTGGGCTGGGCCCTCCCACATCACTCAACAATCAAGAAGGTGCCCCATAGACATGGCCACAGGCCAGTCCAATGACAGCAATTCCCCAATTGAGGCTCCCTCAACCCAGGTGTGTCAAGTTGACACTAAAACTATCCAGTACAGGTAGTGTGAACAATCTGAGTTAGTTTTAAGACTGGATATTCTGGGTGTAGAGATGGTTAAGAACACTGATTGCTCTTGCAGAATACCAGTGTTTGAATCCCAGCACCCACATGGCAGCTAACAACTGTCTGTAACTCCATTTCCAGGGAATCCAACAGCTTCTTCTGTCTTTCACCATCATTGTATGATATGGGTGCACTTACCTACATTCAGACAACACACGCATACACATAAAATAAAAATATTTTTTTAAAAAAGACAATAAGCCGGGCGTGGTGGCGCACACCTTTAATCCCAGCACTTGGGAGGCAGAGGCAGGTGGCTGTCTGTGAGTTCAAGGCCAACCTGGTCTACATAGTGAGTTCCAGGACAGCTGGGGCTACAGGGAGACCCTGTCTCAAAAAGACCAAAAAAAAAAAAAAAAAGAAAAAGAAAAAGACGATATTCTGGAAATTTATGTTTGGAACTGAATTATATGAGCATGAAACACAACTACCTATTATACACTGTTAGTTTATGAATTAATAAAAATAAAATACTAGGAGGCAGACTCAGTAGTAAAACTGGAATTATTGGGCTGGAGAGATGGCTCAGCGGTTAAGAACATTAGTTGTTCTTGCATAAGACCTGGGTTCAAATCCTGGCATCCACATGGAAGCTAACAATTGCCTGTAACTTCAGTTCCAGGGGATCCAATGGCCTCTTCTGTCCTCCATGGACATGGCACAACATGGGTGCACTTACCTATATGCAGGTAATACACTCATACACATAAAATAAAAATAATAAAATTTTTTAGTGTTAAAAAAACCTGGGTTTATTATAAACTGTGTTTGAATCTTGCTTGAGTGTACTCAAAGCTATTGAGAAACCAGCCCCCAAATGTGCTTTTCTTCACAACTTCTTATTCACAATGGAAACAACAGCATACCAAACAATGAATACTAAAAGTTTTATTTAATAACTGTACAAAGGCAAACAAAAAATTCCTTTCAGGCTTTATGATGGCAAATTTTATGTATCATCTTGACTGGGTCACAAAGCACCCAAGATATTTACTAGGACATTATGCTGGGTGTTTTTGTGAAGGGTGTTCTTATGCAATTTTAACATTTAAATCAGTAGATTGAGTAAAGCAGACTTCTCTACTTAATACGAGTAGGCATTATTCAGTCATTGGAAGAACTCAGAACAATTCTTCCTGCCTGTGAGGCTTTGGACTAGGCATCAAACATTGGCTCTTCCTAGGTCTCCAGCCTGCTAATCTTATTCTGTCTCTGTCTCTATATCTCTCTGTCTCTGTCTCTCTCTCTCTCTACACACACACACACACACACACACACACAGTTGACTCTGTTTCTCTAGAGAATTTGACTAATTCAGACACTATTGAAAAGAACTTGTGGCAGATCAAGTCTCTGTTGGGTTGAACTGTCTTCCCATTTGCAAACTGACTGCTAATATCTCTACAAATAGACACAGTAACATCAGTGGGTGTGACTTGGAAGTGCCTAGTTTCCTTTCTATAATCCACATCAAAACTTGGATTCATTATTTTATCCTAACACCTACTTTTAAAAAAAATATTTATTTATAATTTTTAAAAATAATGTGTATGAGTGTATTGCCTGCATGTATGTAAGTGCAACCATGTGGTACAATGCCAGTGGAGGTCAGAAGAGGGTGTCAGATCCCCTGGAATTGGAGTTACAGATGGTTGTTAGCTGCCATGTGGGTGCTAGAAATCAAATCTGGGTCCTCTGGAAGAGCAGCCAGTGTTCTTAACCGGTTGCTCAGCCACCTCTCTAGCCCACACCTACTTTCAAATAAGATGTCTACCAACTTCTTTGAAATCAATCATCTCAGGCCCAAGAGGTTTGCTGGCTGTACATGATCAAGTCTTCCCTTTACAATGGTCATGTGGGTATATATGAGCAGTTCAAACTGCCCCTTTTTCTCTCTGGCCTCTCTGAATCTCAGGAGGTATTCAAAAGGACCAGGGCAACAGACTGCAGACTGACTCATCTGCACAAGGCCACATAACTGAATTGCTTTATATACAGCTGTGCTTCTCAGACCCTTAATGGTACTGAGGTTTTTCTGGATTATGGTTCCTGGTTATCATGAATAGGTAAATTAGATTTTGAAAACATGTACATGGATGCCTCCATTTCAAACTAGCTATTGAAAACATATGCTCTGGATGTCTTCACATTATGTTGTAACATGAAGAAAATAGAAAAGGATGGTGTGTTTCTCCCTCTGTTTCTAGTGCTGAAGAAAGAAGGAAGGATATATGATTCACAAGGTAAAGATGTTAGGAGTCAGGCCTGAACTGAGAGAAAAGAGAAGAGCAGTCTTTGATGGAAGAAGAAGCTGGAGTCTGGAGGCTGTAAGTGAATACCTGTTGAGCAGGGTGAAGCCATGGGGAGTTCCTGTAAATGCTCCCTTGAATAGACAGAAACAACAGAAGGATTCAGAGATGAGGCACTCAAGAATCAGGTACTGGGCCAGGAGACCGAAGTTGAGGGTGCTGGGCTGAACGGTCATGGGAACAGACCACAAGCCACATCCTTAAAAAGAAGGAGCCTTGAGTCCCTGGAGGGCTGGGCTAAGGTCAGAGGGCCAGTTACCCTTGAGTGGGAAAATCTCTGGGTCCTGAGGGGGTAGTAAGGAAGGGTTCACCTTCAGGGCCACGTCTCCATTAGCATGGCCTTTTCCTTCTGGTTTGGGGACAATCAGTTCCTCAGATTTCTGTAGTTCTGAACAAATGATTAGAGGGGCTGTGTTTTTCCCTCCATCATGAAGACAAGGTTCAAAGAAAGGGCGAAGGGGACTAGAGAAACTGTGGGTGAAAGTAAAGATGTGGGACTTGTCAGTCACATTGTAGAAGGAGATGACTCCTGCTTCATAGTCCAGGAAGATGCCTACACACTTCGGGGACTCTTTCAGGCGGAAGGAGGTCTGCGGGGATGTGAGAGCTTCATATTCATTTCCACGACTCTGTCGCAGAAGCCAGTGGCCATTGGCCGGTGAGGCAGTGACCTTCCCTTTCCGGCTCACAGACTCACTACACACCCCGAGGATCCATTTGGTCTTCTCTCCCACGTACACCTCCCAGTAGTGACAGCCAGCAGTGAAGTGCTCAGAGCCCAGGACGCTGACAACAAAATCAAACCTCTCCGGATTGTCGGGTACAGGCCGCTTTCTGTCACCAAGCCTCACACATCTTCGGTCCTCAGACAGGATGAGTTTGGGATGTGCTGTATCTGAGTCCAGGGTCACTGTCTCTGCAAAGAGTCAGAGGGAGGTAAAAGAGAAGGCTAGATTCCAAGCAATCTTTGGACCGATTCAGAAGGAAAAATACTCTCTAGGTCTGCAATAATTACCGTTAATCTAGTTTAGTTTATGAATTCCATGACCACTTCTACATATGTACTAGAACCAAAGAATTCTAACTTGCTCTGCTGTTTAAGTGCTTGCTTAATATGCAGGAATATTATGGAGATGCATTCCATCTCCAGCACTACATAAAACTATGCTCGGTGGCACATGTTTGTAATCCAGCACTTGGGAGTTAGAAACAGGGACATCAGAAGTTCAAGGTCACCCTTGGTTATATAGAGAGTTCAAAACCAGCCAGCACTACATGAGACCCCCATCTCAAAAGGCCAAAACCCCAACTATCTAGACCTGCATGTTAGACCCTGCAGTCACATGGGATGTTTGAGTCCCAGTTCTGCCCTGCTAATTTCACAACCTTGGGCTTGTTAACTATCTCTAAGCTTAGTTTCCTCAAGACAACAGCTCACATTTCAAAGCTGTCATGCAGACTTGATGAACTAATGCGTGCGTCTGTACCTCACTCCAACTACATATGTGTGATATTCATTCTGTTACCTAAGATTATTGCTTAGAACTATCAGTTGATACTGTGCTCACTCATGCAGGTGAGTGTGGAGGCCAGAGGTCAACACTGTGTCTTCCTTTGTCACTCTCCACCTTATTTTTTGAGACAGGGTCTCTCTGAACCTGGAGCTCACCATTTCGGGGCCTAGCCTGGGTAGCCAGTGAACCCCCACAATCTGCCTGTCTCCACCTTCCCACCTTCACCCTGGTGTTGGAGTTACAGACACTCTCTGCTACTCACAGCTTTTTCATGGGTACTGGGAATCCAAACTCAGGTCTCATGTTTGTGCAGCAAGCACTTAGTTCACCAAGCCATATCTCCAGCCCCATAACTATAATTTTAAATGTTAATATGAGTGCATGCCTTTAATCCCAGCACTTGGGAAGCAGAGGCAGGCGGATCTTTGTGAGTTCAAGGCCAACCTGTTCTAAAAAAAAAGTTAATATGAGCTAGGCTTGGTGGTTCAGGTATATAATCTCAGTTCTGGGGGATTGTTAGGGCACCTGCTAACTGAAGCCCTTCCCTGAAAAATCTCAGTGATCACCCCCCCCCCAAATAATTGGTCTCCAGACAATGAGGAATGGGGCAGATATGTGGAAAGGGGCAGAATTGGTATCTAGTTATGTGGAACAGCAAGATCTTCCCATGCCTGACCTTTTGGACTACTTTTTGATCCATGGAGAGTCTTTCTAGTGGGTATTAACAGTGTCATATTTGTCACAAATTATTTTCATTTATATTTCAATTTTTAAAGTTGTTTTAATATTTTTTTTAGTATGTATGTGTTCATACACATGTGACACAGAGTATGTGTGGCAGTTAGAGGGCAGTTTTTGGGTGTTGGTTCTCTTCTTTCCACCAGTGGATTCCAGGGATGGAACTAGGTTGTCAGGCTTGGCAGCAAATAACCTTTGTCCACTGAACCATCTTGCCAGACCTCTGTAGTAGTTCTTGATGAATGTTTTTATGTTGTCAGATTTACTAATCTTTCCTATGTGGTCTCTTCAGGTGACCTGAGGTTTGGGAAGACCTTCCTATCCCACACTCAGATAACTAGACACCAGTTCTGCTCCTTTCCACACATCTGCCCTGACCTCACTGTGCTATAAAAGAGAGACTTCCTAGTTCTATACCCCCCCACACCCAAAAGAAGACAAACATTTTTTTAATTGATAAACTGGGGTCTGGGGATGTAGTTCACTTGGTAGAGTACTTGCCTCTCATACACAAAGCCCTGGGTTCAATTCCCAGCAATGCATAAACTGGGCATGGTAGCACGTGTCTATAATCCCAGCACTCGGGATATAGAGGCAGGAGGATTAGGAGTGTAAGGTCATTTTAGCTACATATTGAGTATGAGGCTAGATAGACTGGGCTACCAAAACATAAATATATCAAAACATAAATAAATAAATAAATAAATAAATAAATAAATAAATAAACCAAAACCACACACCACAAAACCCAAACAAAAATTTTTCATTAAAAACTGATAAGCAGATAAACTGATTTGATAAAAATCTGTAAATTAAGGCTGGGCATGATGACACATATTTGTATTCTAGCACTGGAGAAGGTGAGGCAGGAGGATCACAAATTTGAGGCAACTTACGCTACATAGTGAGACTATGGCTCAAAAAGAATAAAACAAGGGGCTGGAGAGATGGCTCAGCGGTTAAGAACACTGGCTGCTGTTGTAAAGGACCCGGGTTCAATTCCCAGCACCAACTTAGTGACTAACAACCATCTGTAACTACAGTTCCAGGGGATCTGACGCCCTCTTCTGACCTCTGCAGGCACTGGACGACACAGATGCACCGATGATCTGCAGGCATTACATTCATATACATAAAATAAAAATAACTTTTTTGTGGTCTTTTTTGAGACAGGGTCTCCCTGTAGCCCCAGCTGGCCTGGAACTCAGTATGTAGACCAGGCTGGCCTCGAAATCACAGAGATCTGCCTACCTTTGCCTCCCAAGTGCTGGGATTAAAGGCATGTGCCACCACGCCCAGCAAAAAAAAAAAAAAAAAAAAAAATTTTTAAAGAGCAAAACAAAATAGTAATAATAAATTTAAAATTGTCGTTTGTATTCAGATGGAATGGGACAAAAATCTAAGTTACAGAATTTGTGAAGGATAGACTCTGAAATGGGAACTGATTTGGATGAGTAACTCACCAAAATGTAGCCGGGCTCTTCTCCAGCCTGAAGGCAGAGGAGGCAACAGTTAACACGTGGAGAAAAGGAGAACTCCCAGAGGGTGGCGCCAAAACCCCGGAAAGAACATCTCACCTGCATTGGCTGCCGCTCTCTTCAGCTCTGGGAAGGGAACAAGAAGATGAACTACACTGAAATCAGTGGGACAGGACAGAAGTTGGTGTGGAAGTTATAAAAGCATGCGAAACTTACTCAGTTCACTCCGGAGCTTCTCTAAAGAATAAAAAGAGTTGGACAAATTAGAACAGGGGTCACTTGTTCCCATGTTTGGCCCATCATGCCCACATTCCTAGAGCAGATCCTCAGCAACCACGCCCTGGGACTTGTCCCCTAACGAGATCTGCAGCGGCAGTAGCTCCCAGCTGTGGCCCATGGGTCCCCAGATATGACAGGTCAGCAAATTCCTGTGTGAGCCAAACCTTACCTGAAGACCCAATAAATAATACATTTCACAACTATAGGTAATGATAAGTGTGTGAAGATGTTATAGAAGAATAAAATATAATTTCATTGAAAACTATTACTGAATCTCTATGAGATCGTGCTATCATGCCTGCTTTCTCCATGTAAAATACAATGGCCATGTTACATGCCTTCAGATTTTAAAAAATTGAATGTTAAAATTGGTTCTCAGCTGGGCATGGTGGCACACACCTTTAATCCCAGCACTTGGAAGGCAGAGGCTGGTGAAACTGTGAGTTCAAGACCTTCCTGGTCTAAACAGTGAGTTCCAGGCCAGCTGGGGCTACATGGTGAGATCCTGTCTCAAAACAAAACAAAAACAAACAAACAGAAATTGATTCTCCAGGATGAAATAGTGGAGAAGAGCTGTTCCAGCCTATTAGTTAAGTGGGAACCCATCTGCTGTGGCCCCCACCTAAGGGAATGCTATGCCTCAATGATAAAAAGGACGTACAGATGGCTTCACCTACGGGAGGCATCTCTTCTTGGTAAAGCAGTCCCCATTTAAATACCAGCTAATATATGCAGGAAGGAGAAGCAGAGGATACTCCTAAAGAGCTGCTGAGAGTCTAGGAAGCCCCAGTGCCCATAGTTTGAATTGACCTTGCTATCTCCCTCCTACCCAGGGAAATGAAATGGAAACAGACACTTAGTAGTCCTAAGCAGCGACATCAGCAGAAAGCAGTTTGTGCCACAGATACAGAACAGAACTTACTGAGGGCTTTGTGGAGTCTTCCTGAAAACCAAAGAGAGACAGAGTGTGAGTGATCCTGTCCTTTATCCCTCGGGCCCTGGAAAGCATACCACTCTACCGCCCCATGATGGAAGACATAGTGATGTTTCTAACAGCCCCTGATCCAACCCTTTGTTCCAAAAGTCAGACTCAAGAATCCAATAGTGCTGCTGGGCGTGATGGCACACACCTTTAGTCCCAGCACTTGGGAGGCAGAGGCAGGCAGATCTCTGTGAGTTCGAGGCCAGCCTGGTCTACATAGCGAGTTCCAGGACAGCTGGGGCTACAGGGAGACCCTGTCTCAAAAAAGCTGAAAAAAAAAAAAAGAATCCAATAGTGCTTGTGCCACTTTCCCAAATGCCCAGCCTGCCCCAGACTTCGGTTCCTCCTCCTCCTCCTCCTCCTCCTCTTCTTCAGTCTGTCTGGTTTCATTTCCACTATTTCCATATGTTTTCAGTTATAGTATGTGAGTATATTCCTTGCTGCTTTTTGGTAGCCCACTGTTTACAACATCTAATTAAAAGTAGCCAAAGGCCTAGCACTGACTTGTTGACATGACTATAGCTTTCCACAGCAACTCCTTCAAGTTAGATGCAGAGCTTAAGTCATGCATTTGCGTCTACTACCAACCAAGGGCTGGACATGGGTTAGGTGCTTGAGCCCAGAGCCACCAAGCTGAATATATCAAAGCTTGTGCAAGCTTGTCAGGGGCTGTGACATTTACTGTGCCATATCCACTACTAATGGCTTCCATTCATGGTATCCTGCGCTTACACTGAGACATGGAACCTCTCAACAATGGGGCACATAGAATTATTATTCCTGTTTTACAAAGAGTGGGCTGAGGCTCAGGAGGATGTGAAATTTTCTCAAGCTCATCCTGCTAGTAAGTGGTCAAAGAAGCTGATTCGGACCTACGTCTGCCTGACTGCTGGGTCAGCGGCCCTCACCATCACACCAGTTTCCTTGTGCTCTTGAGCAGAACAGAGTGTGAGCACTGTGCCCTCCACATTCTTCCCAGGTTGGAGGAAACATTGGGGAGTGAGGGAGGCAGATCCTAGCATCACTGAACTTGGAACGACTGAGCCAGTGATTTGTCTTCTCATCTAGACTTCAAACGTGTGTCTTTTGACTTTTGCCGTCCATGGCCCATAGCACACGTTCATTAAGTAATGAAGAGGAAGTGGTAATAAAGAAAAAAGGCCAGGCACTGTGATAGATCTTTTATTTATTTATCTATTTATTTATCTATTTATTTATTTATTTATTTATTTATTTTGGTCTTTTTGAGACAGGGTCTCCCTGTAGCCCCAGGTGTCCTGGAACTCACTATGTAGACCAGGCTGGCCTTGAACTCACAGAGATCCACCTGCCTCTGCCTCCCGAGTGCTGGGATTAAAGGTGTGCGCCACCACGCCGGCGATAGATCTTTTTTAAATGTTTTCTCTTAATAATGCTGGGAACTTATCCCCATTTGTCTGATGAGGACTCCAAAGCTCAGAGCAAGACAATGACTTATTCAAGGCCAGGAAATGGCAGACCAGTGAGCTGAACCCAAGGCTGCCAACTCTAGAGCCTGCGGTCCTTCTGTGGTATCACACCACCTCTCTCCACATCAAGGTTGTGTGGATTCTTGAGTCTCACACATCCCATGTGACTTTATTCTACATGTTTAAATAATATGCAGACTTCCTTTTTTTCTTCTTTTCCTTTTTGAAACAGGGTTTCCCTGTAGCTCCAGCTGGCCTGGAACTCACTATGTAGACCAGGCTGGCCTTGAATTCACAGAGATCTACTTGCCTCTGCCTCACAAGTACTGAGATTAAAGGCGTGCACCACCATGCCCAGCTGTTTTTTAAACGTTGGCAGATCCAGATCCAGATCCACGCATTTGGGGTATTGGCATCTCCTTGTCCACTGCCCTGTGACATTGGAAACTGAATTCTAATACTATTAAGAGGCTGTTGGTATTTATATATACAGAGAAAGAATATCTTTTTTTCTTTTTTGGTCTTTTTGAGACAGGGTCTCCCTGTAGCCCCAGCTGACCTGGGACTCACTATGTAGGCCAGGCTGGCCTCGAACTCACAGAGATCCACCTGCCTTTACCTCCCAAGTGCTAAGATTAAAGGCGTGTGCCACCACACTCAGCTGAGAGAAAGAATATCTTATGTTCCCCATCCCTGACTCTTTAAATATAATTACCTTTTTCTTTTGCATGGTCTTCAAGAAGATTTTCTAGAGGAAGAAAAAGAACAAATGACACTCTTGGCCCTTCCTTGGAAGTCTCTGAATGGTTTTATCTGCTCTTGAGTTTGTCCAGCTCTATTTATTGTCAATCCACCCCCACCCATCCACTCCTTCACCACCACCCCTACCACCACCTCCTGATCCAGTCCCTTGTCATGGCTCCTCTGAACAAAAGAAATGGCAACCTTGTCTCTAACTTCCTGTCTTACTCCTTTGGTATCTTCTCAACACAACAGCCAAAGAGAGCTTTTCAACGATCAGGTTATCCCCATCCATTGCTTTACCACTGCTCTTAGGAGAAAGGCTGGAATCCTCACTCGCACTACAAGTCTCTCATGGCCAAGCCCCGTGACTTCTTGCTTCTGTGCCTTCAGATGCCTTGCCTAAGTATTACTCTCCTGACCCTGTTTCTTTCTCAAGCTATTCTTCCTACTGTGGCTGGTTTTCCATTCCTTTGTCACCCAAGACTTCTAGTCTCCCAGGACCTTACATACTCAAAGTTCTTACAGTCTCAAGCTTGGCTGGTCACAACCTTTACAAAACTGGGAATTCTCTTTTGTGGTATTTGTACATGTTTGTAAAATTATTTAATTTGTGTAATCTCCTTTGTTAGACTGAAAGTTCTAGAAGAACAGAGTCTGTGTCTTTTTTCATTCACCATTGGATCCCCAGAAGGTGGAAGGCATTTAGTAGATACTTATTAATTATTTGACTGAATAAAAGCTTCCCTATGTCTGACCTACACATCACCCATAGACTAAGTCCAAGCAATGAAGCCAGGCATGGTGGTTCACACCTGTAATCCCAGCACTTAGGAGGCCAAGGCAAGAGTACTTTGAATCTAAGACCAGCATAGGCTACAGATAGTGAGTTCCAGGCCCACCTGTGCTACATAGCAAGCCCTTGTCACAGACAGACAATGATCAAGCACTGAGCTCACAGACAAAAATTGCCGAACATAGTGGAAAGCAAGCTGTTAGAAATGAGATCTAATGAAAACTGTAAGCGGTGGCTTGGTGGATTCAGATACCAGCACCATCAACGGGAACAGAAGGTGAGGAAACTTTCAGGCCATTTTGTGACCACTGGGAATATAGAAGTCAACAAACCAGAAACATGTCCCTCACCCAGCCAAGGACACTTACCTACCTCCATCGCCTGTTCATAGAGAAGCTTCTCTGGAAGGAAGACAGAGGGGAGTCAGCGCAGTTTAGGAAGGGTTTTTTCTTTCTTTCTTTAAACTTTTTTCTTTTTAATTTTATTTATTAATTTTATTTTATGTGTATGCATGTATTGCCTGCATGTAGGTAAGTGCAACTGTATCCTGCAATGCCTGCAGAGGTCAGAAGAGGCTGTCGGATCCCCTGGGACTGAAGTTATGGACAGTTGTTAGCTGCCATGTGGGTGCTGGGGTTCGAACCTGGGTCTTCTACAAGAACAACCAGTGTTCTTAACCACTGAGCCATCTCTCCAACTCCGAGAAGGGCTTTTTCTAACAGGCATCACTGTCCAAAGATGGCCTAAGCTGTCTGAATAGGACTGACCCTTTGTCTATCGGAATAGGACTGACCTATAGGTATATATCCATTTGAAAAGATTACAATGTCTTCAAACCATCAGACAGAGGAAAGAAGTATTGGGTTATGTCACTTTCCAAATCCTTTACAATCAAGATCCTGGGAAATGTGACCATTTTAATGAGGGTTTTAGCCAAATGAATGTAATTGGATTTCCTGATTAGAAGGCTCTAATTTCTTAGTTAATTAAAAAGCTGGCAGGGTTAGTTATGGTCTAATTTCGTAAGGGATGCATATTCATAGCTCTGTTCAGAGTCTCTTTGCAGTTCATTTCAATCCCTCTGCAATGTGAGTCTCCAAGGGATAGAGGACTACCAGTTTTCCTCCAGCCGACTTGCAGGTTCCTAACCTATGAGTTCATGTAATATTGTCTTTCCCCAGAGCAGTCATGGGCTCCCATCCTGACAGCCTGGCTCATTTACCACTACGTTACCTTTTGATCTTCTTTGCCTCCAGATGAACCAAATGCCGACTACAATGAGAAGTCCCAGGACAGGCAGGACTGCAGCAAGAGCCACTGCTGAAGATGACAGCCTTCCCGGAGACGGGGCTAAAACAGAACCACCAATGGTTGCTCTCAGGGAGACATCTGAAAGCTGCTCCCTGCCACAGAAAGCAGATGGCTCAAACACATCCAACTGTCTCCATCGCCTCTAGGGAGAACTTCCTGGGCAAGATTGATGAGGCTCTTTGCTTCTTTTGAGAACTGAAACTGGGTGATTTCAACAAGAAATGGAGCCAGGCATCGTGGTCCACGCCTTTAATCCCAGCACTCGGGAGGCAGAGGCAGGTAGATCTCTGTGAATTCAAGGCCAGCCTGGTCTACATAGTGAGTTCCAGGCCAGCTGGGGCTACAGGGAGACCATGTCTCAAAAAAGATGAGAGAGAGAGAGAGAGAGAGAGAGAGAGAGAGAGAGAGAGACTGTGAGACTGTTCATGTCTCATGAAGGGTTTCAATAGTCTTCCTGAAACCAATGACAAACAGCTTCTCAACCACAATCTCACCCTGTCCTCTAATTCCACAGAAAAATACTCTAGGAACCTCAGAGGCATGAATGTGCCTTAATAACCTTAATAACCCATGAGCCCTCATGAATCGCTCATGAGCCCTGCTTATCTTTATCCTCAAACCCTTTCTGCTGTGCAGCCACAGTGGGCAGCCTCTCTGCCTCATCACTGTCAGTGGGGGCAATACAAGATCTAGGGATCAGCATAGCAGGCCTAAAGCCCAGGCAGGAGACAAAGAAGAAAGAGTGTGGGGTATAGTGGTACATGGCTAGGACTGCAGGAAGCTCATGTGGGGAGGGAAATAGCTATATCAAGCGGTGAGGAGTCCAAGCTGGCTGGGCATCCTTGCAACAGCCACTGGGTGTCAGTAGGCAAGAGACCCAGAACTCTCCCAAACTGCTTTAACTCATTTGTAAAATGAAGAGTCCCTATCCCCTGGGGCTTGGGGGTGGGGGCAGGTTAAAGAAATCAGTCTTGCTAAGCACCTAGGGAGGGGCAGTGGCAGTAGTAAGAGAAGAAGAGAAGGGAACAGAGAAAGAGAAAAAGATTGGCAGATGTCCAGGAACCCTCTTCACCACCATCCATCATATGATCCACATTTCAAGGATCTTAAAGGATCTATGCCCTTTCACCCAGCAGTTCTATTTCCAGAAACATACTCCACGAAAATAATCAGAATCCCTTCCCAAATATGCTCAAAGATGTTCACTGAGTCATTAGTTATAATAGAAGGGAAAGATTGGAAAGCATCTAGATTTCCAGAGATAGCCCTTGATTAATTTGTATTCACCTATGGCTACACAAAGAAAGTCTATTTATTCCCTAAAATCATGTTACAGAAAAACACTTAGGAATATAGACAGAAACAAAAAATAGCTCATGGCATGAGAAGTGAGAAAAAAACTGAGACGCAAGTATACACACACATAAGCATAGTCACACTCCTCAGAGACGTGTGTGTGCAAGCAAGTCTTGAGAGAAATACCCTAACATGTTAGCAGTAGTTCAGTATAATTTATGAGAGTCTATGTCATTGTTTTGATTTCATTAAAATGCTCTGTATTAGGGCTGGAGAGGTTGCTCAGTGGTTAGGAGCATTTGCTGCTCTTATAGAGGCCTGGGGTTCATTTCCCACTACCCACTTGGTGACTCACAATCACTTGTAACTCCAGTTCTGGGGATCTGATGCCCTCTTCTGGCTTCTGTAGACACCAGGCACATACATGGTGCACATACATACAAGCAGCCAAAATATTCAAGTTTTCTACAATGTACATCTTAAGACTACAATATGATAGAATGCATAGAAGAAAATAGCTTTTTGAAAATGCTTTGTAAAGTTCCCACTGGGGTAGGTTGGAGCTTCCTCCAGACCGTCCAGGTGCTTCGAGGCTGCTCTCCACCCCCAGCTCTTACCTTCGATCAACATGGCTGTGGTCTTCTCTTGGCCAAGAACCTCATTTCGGACAGTGCAGGACACATTTCCTAGAGTGCTATCCCTAACTCTGCTGGACACTGTTGTTTGGAAGAGCCCAGTTGTATCCAGGGAGTGGGCCTCCGACAGGGATAAAAGCACTCTGCCTTTAGGGTCTCTCCACTCAGCCCAGGGCTTTGGGAACCATCCCATAGACTGGCACACCAGCTGGATCCACCCAGCGTCGTAGCCCTTCACATGGATGTAAGGATCAGAACCTAGAACTGAGGAGGAGAGAGCTGAAAATCGCTGCCCAGCCACCTGGCAGGGCCCCAGCAAGGGTTTGGTTCTAGCCAATGCCCTGCCCCCACCCCTCCAGCTTCCTCTGATGAACAGCCACAGCTGTTAAGAAAACTATAATGTCTACCTTCTCACCTCCACCACAACTATGCTTCCCTCTCCCCATGGAAAAAGAGTCTATCCAAATGCATTTCAAAATCCATCCATGACATTACCTACATCACATAATTCTGGTTCTTCAAGGACACTTCGGTTCCCTTTTAAAAAAGACTTGCACCTTAAAAGACTCCATGTTTGTACAGAGCTTACCAACTACTGTGGTGTTTTTTAATATTTTATTTATTATTATTATTATTTATATATATTTTCTTGTCTTTTTGACGCAGGATCTCCCTGTAGCCCCAGCTGTCCTGGAACCCACTATGTAGACCAGGCTGGCCTTGAACTTACAGAGATCTGCCTGCCTCTGCCTCCTGACTACTGCCTCCTGACTAAGGGTGGGGCCACCATGCCCAGCAATCGTAGTGTTTTTATTTCTTTATTTTATGTGTATGCGTTTATTGCCTGTGTGTAGGTAAGTGCACCTTATGTCCTGCAATGCCTTCGAGGACAGAAGAGGCTGTCCACAGTTGTTAGCTGCCATGTGGGTGCTGGGATTCGAAACTGGGTGTTCTGCAAGAACGACCAGTGTTCTTAACCGCTGTGTGTAGACGACTTTTTTAAAATTCTTAATTTAGTTTGAGATGCTTCTCTACCTTCTGGCCCTTTGAATACTTACAAACCTCTGGAAAGAGCCATGAAGCAAATCCTTGTCACTGCTAGGAATTCCAGCCCTTGAAGAATTTTCCTTGCAGCCCTGGTTATGAGTTCTTGATGATGGAGGCAAGAAAGCCGCCCTCGAAAGGGAAAGCTATTGCCTGAGCCGAGAAGCCCTATAGGCCACCAACTATATTTATCCAGGTCCCGCAATATTTTCAAAGTCTGGGTTCCTTCCTCATAGAAGCACCAGTCAGCGCTTAACTGAGATGAGTGGACCGGGCTGGAGAAGTCCGAGCTGACAAAACTCATCTAATTGCCACAAACGACCCAGGCCCCTCAAACCCATCCTAACCTGCAACCTGCAGGGTCACCGTGCCCTCTCGACTCCTGTTTCCCACTCGGACTTGACATCGGTACGGCCCTCGGTCTTCAAGCCTCACGTTGCGGATGTGCAGGGTGAAGCTTTCCTCTTGAGCATCTCTCACCAGCGCCGTCCTGCCTTTATACTGCGGCATCAGGTCTTCATCCCTGTCCTTCCCGTCCCGGAACACGTGAACAGCCTGGGAGTGCGGGTGCGAGGGCCGCTGCCACTTCACCTCCTTGATCACCGTCTCAGGCCAGAGCATGAGAGGGCAGGGCAGCTCGGCTGTGCCTCCTAGCGGAGCCAGGAAGATCTCGCTGGCATCCCCTGTGCGGAAAGAACTGGGTCTGAGAGAACGCAGGATGCTCAAGAGAGGGGCTTGGGAAGGGGCAGAACCTGGAAAACAGAGCCCCCAAAGAACTAAGCTCTAGCACAACGCTCCATCCGTCGTCAGAGACCCCAAAACTCCTACCTGACACGTGAGCGGGCTGCTGGAGGAGGACCAGGGTGAGGAGGCAGCTGAGAAGCTGGGAGCCAGAGGAACCTCGTCTCTCCATAGGAACTAGGACAGACACCGGAAGAGGGCAGGTGAGCTGACAGAACCTAGGAGCTGGGGCTGAGACCCAGGCCACATGGTAAACAGCCCTGGTAGAGTAAGTGTTCAATAAATGTGTGCCGAACTGAAAGGACATGGTCGTTCCTGGAAGGTGTAGATTACTGTGCACTGTCAGTGGGAGATCCTGAAGAATTCCCGGGCAGACCTCTGTCCCCACTACTTGTTATGGGCAGAAATTCCTATAGCAGGAAGCAGAATCTTTCATGTTACACTGAGGACAAAGTTTAAAATGTAAATGCTCTTCCAAATTCTCTCCAACATTTCACATCCTTCACATCCTAGAAATCAGGAAGCCTGGTCCCAGAAGCCATGGACTGAGTAAAGATGAGACTTGAAGATGTCAAGGGAGGTGGGGAGGTCAAGGGTCTTTAACCATTGAACACATTCTTGTTTTGAACATCCAATTTTGTTTTCCCCATGACAAAAAGCACATTGGATTAAGTTTGTTTTCATTTCTTTATTATTTTTATTTTATGTGTATGAGTGTATTGCCTGCATGTATGTGAGTGTACCCGTGTCATGCAATGCCTCAGAGGTCAGAAGAAGGCTTCAGATTCCCCTGGAACTGGAGTTAAGGACGGTTTGTAGCCATCATGTGGGTGCTGGGAATTGAACCCGGGTCCTCTGCAAGAGCAGTGTTCTTAACCACTGAGCCATTTCTCCAGCCCATTTTCATTTTTTAAGTCATAATGCACCTGCCTATAATTCAGTCTTATTACAAACAACCATATAGTACAAGAATTACATTGGGGGGGTTGGAGAGATAGCTCAGTGGATAAGAGCAGTGGCTGCTCTTGCAGAGGACCCAGGTTCGAATCCCAGCACCTACATGGCAGTTAACAACTATCCATAACTCCAGTTCCAGGGGATCCAACAGCTTCTTCTGTCCTCCTTGGGCATTGCACAACACAGATGCACTTACCTACATGCAGACAATACATGCATACACATGAAATAAAAATAATAAAATAAAATATTTAAAATAAAGTATTACATTGGAAGTTTTATTTTAGTTTTTCCTATCTCACCACTTTCCAACAGGTTACTAGCTATTCAGAAAGCAAACCAGAGGAACTGGAGAGATGTTTCAGGGGTTAAGAGCATTGGCTGAGGACGTGGGTTCAATTCCCAGCACCCACATGGTGGCTACAACCATCTATAACTCCAGTTCCAGGGGATCCAACACCCTTTTCTGACCTCTGAGGGCACTGCATGCACATGGTGCACTTATACACATGCAGGAATAATACTCATACACATAAGATAAAAAGTATTATGATAAAAAAATTTTAATAAAATAAGCCTGGCATGGTGGCACATGCCTTTAATCCCAGCACTCCGGAGCTAGAGGGAGCTGGATCTCTGCAAGATCCAGGCCAGCTGAGGCTACAAGGAAATCCTGTCTCAAAAGGAACAATAAATAAATGAGAGAGAGAGAGAGAGAGAAAGAAAGAAAGAAAGAAAGAAAGAAAGAAAGAAAGAAAGAAAGAAAGGGAAAATTTAAGGGAATGAGGGAAATTTTCTACTGGATATCCCCCTGGTATTACCCACAAATCTCTAATCCTTTAATTTTCTATTGCTCAGAGAAACCCAAAGCTCCCCACTGGATGAAGGGTGCCTGAAATCAAATGAGAGGAGACTTCTGGGACTGGATTCCCAGGTTCAGATAATTAGTGGGTCCTAGAGCCAGCCTGGTCCCAAAATTGGCTCTGCCATTTCCTAAGCTGTGGCCTTGGATAGGTAACGTTATTTCTCCAAGCTTACCCTGACACAGAAACAAAGTTAATCACGGTACCTACCTTGTAGACAGAATCATAACAGAGATGTAATGAAATTCAAAATGATTCCCGCCAAGCTGGAAACAAATAGCAAATGAAGTCCTGCTGTTGGGTTGTCACTGTGTAACAGGGCAACTGAGCTGGCTTCAGGAGGGAGGTCTCCCTGGAGCACCATAGCAAGCTGCTGCTGAATGCAAAGCAGCTTTAGGAAGAGACTAATCTAGGAGAAGAGGACATCAGAAGCAGGTGGTTCACTCTCTAGTCAGAGCCGTGCAAGACAGCTACATAACACTTGTCTTCTTTCAAACTGTTGAAGATGAGAAAAATCAGTAATATCCAAAGTCATCACACATGTGATGAAAGGATCTTCTTGTTCGTTGTTGAACAATTTTAGCAATAAATATCAAATGATTCACAAATATGCAAAAGGCTTAACCCAACCATTTCACTCTAAAAAGAATCTTAAGGAAATAAATAAGGATGTGCATAAGTATTTGATGGTTATTCAAAGTTATTTATAAAATTGAAAACAACATAAAAGTCTGTTAAAATGAGAATAGTCAGCAGTTTGTGGGCATTCCTGCAATGGGGTGTCACACTGTGTTTGATAATCCCATGGGAGGACAAGTCTTACAAGCCCAGGAATTTTCACTTTACCTCAAACATTTTTTTGTTTTGTTTTGTTCTGGGTTTTTGTTTTTGTTTTTGTTTTTGTTTTTCGGTCTTTTTGGGACAGGGTCTCCCTGTAGCCAGAGTTCACTTGGAACTCACTTTGTAGACCATGCTGGCCTTGAACTCACAGAGAGCTGCCTGCCTCTACCTCCTGAGTGCTGGGATTAAAGGTGTGTGTCACCATGCCTGGCTACTTTACTTCAAACAGTAAGTCTTAAAACCATGTGTCTTATGAAACAATTTAGAGGGAAATGCTCAGAAAAGAGGCAGGAATGTGAACTTCAGTCAGTGGCTACTTTGGGGGCGAAGAAAGAATTAGAGGTTCTCGTTCTCCTTATATATTTTCCATTTTATTTTACAAACGTTCTGCATCAAATATGTATCACAGAAAACAATCTAGGATCAGTGAGGTGGCTCAGCGGGTAAGGCACTTGTCACACAAACCTGATCCCCATGTAAAGGTGGAAGGAGAGAATCAACTCTCAAAAGTTGTCTTCCATTTTAACACTTGTGCTGTGGCATGTATATGTCACAACTCATACACACACCATACAGGGACAAGAATAATAGAATGAAATTTAAAGAGGAAAGAAAACAACCTACTAAAAGGAGGAGAAGCATGGCCAGGAAGAGAGGGAGAATCAGGAAAGTTGGAGATTCCACAGCTTCTATGGCCCAAAAACTGAAGCTTCTGCCACTCCGCAGGGACCTGTCCCCCACAGAGCATTGAGGGGACATCAAGAAGTGCTGCTAGGTCTTTTTAAAAAATATTTATTTAGGGGCTGGAGAGATGGCTCAGCGGTTAAGAACACTGGTTGTTCTTACAGAAGACCTGGGTTTGAATCCCAGAACCCACATGGCAGCTAACAACTGTCCGTAACTCCAGTCCCAGGGGATCCAACAGCCTCTTCTGACCTCCTCAGGCATTGCACAACACGGGTGCACTTACTTACATGCAGGCAATACACACATACACATAAAATAAAATTTTAAAATTTATTTATTATTTTTATTTTATGTGTATGTGTGTATTGCCTGCATGTAAGTGTACCCATGTTGTGCAGTGCCCATGGAGGTCAGATGAGGGCCTTGGATCCCCTAGGACTGGAGTTACTAATGGTTGTTAGTGGGTGCTGGGATCCAAACCCAGGTCCTCTGCAAGAACAGCCAGTTTTCTTAACCACTGAGCCATCTCTCCAGCCTACCATAAGTCTTTTACACATTATTATTACTATTATTATTTTGGGGTTTTGATACAAGGTGTGCCACCACACACAGCTTGTTACAATGTCTTTCACAATGTCTTTCATTTCATATTTTCTTTTTTTTTAATTAAAAAAAATTTTTTTGAGACAGGCAGGCTCTGTCTAAAAAAGAAAGAACCATTTGATCACCAATGAACAAATCTCCAGGATTTGGTTTGATCTGGTTGTTCAGAAAGTCTTTCCCTCCATCATGGTCTCAGGCAAAATATATCATATTTTAGTCATCAGCACTATATTAGCATATTTATTAACTCATAAATATATCTTTACATTTTAATATTTTTTTTAATTTTATTATTTTTATTTTATGTATGTATGCATATATTGCCTGCATGTAGGTAAGTGCACCCGTGTCATGCAATGCCCGCAGAAGGCAGAAGAGGCTGTCAGATCCCCCAGGACTGGAGTTACTGACAGTTGTTAGCTGCTATGTGGGTGCTGGGATTCGAATCCGGGTCTTCTGCAAGAACAACCAGTGTTCTTACCCACTGAGCAACCTCTCCAGCCCCTATTCTATGTTTTTAATAAAATATCTTTTATTCATTCTTTGAAATATTCATACATGTAAACAACGTATCCAGATCATGTATACTCCCAAGTTCCCCTTCCCACTCTCCTCAGGCACCCTACTCTATGTTAATAACAAATCCCTAAGTTGGGTGCGGTGGTACACAATTGTAATCCCAGCACTGGCTACATAGTAAGTTCTAGCCCCAACAAGGGCTACATGAGGTCAGTCTCAAAAAACCACTCCCAGAAATTCCCACTTATTGCATCTTAAGTACTCTACTCACATGGTCTTCAGCCCCAACAACGACCCAAACAAGATATTACCCTCTTTTGCACTTAGAACAGGAGATGCCAATCATTTCACCTCAGGCCGCCATGCAGGCACAAATCACCAGGACCCTTTCTGAAGCGGAGTGCAAAGCCCATAAACAGATGCTTGTATGCATGCACGTATGAATGAGTGCACAGCTCCGAATCATGGACCACAACATGGACAAGAGACTTCCTCGCTTTTGGGCAAGTATCACAGAATTCCTTCACAGAGAAATGGCCCTTTGGATAGAAGCTTTTAAAAATGGAGTATTCTCTAAGTTCTTTGCCTAACTTTGCCAATTTATATGACATCTATTAAAATTACTTGTTTGTACTTGCATGGTTCTTCTGAAACCCCCAAATTATCAGCACTGTGGCAGCCACTGCTACTCGGTGTCATACTCAAGAT